ATTTTTAAATGCTCAACTGAAGTTTTAAGTTACTGAAATACTAGAAATATGGAGACTGGGGAAAATTTCATTTTGGGGGACAGAATTCTTATTTTGCCCCCCCTATAGTTGTACATCTAGTTATGGACCAAGATAGGCAGACATTTTTAGCTGTATTTGAACTATGTGGAATTTTCTTAAGGTCAAGACAAATGACCTTACAAAGTACAAAAGGATAAGTGGGAATGAAAGTCTACCACTCTCTCACTCTCTCTTTTAATTTTTGACAAGATATAAGTTCAGACCATTCCATTACCTTATCCCAGTAAACCACTGAAGGGAACATTAATGTTCTCATTCAGTCCTGTTCTCTATTACCTATTCATCAAAAATGTGGCTTTTGTGCATTTTTCATGATGAGAATCAACATTACCCATGTTAATCAAGAGGAAAACTGCCTTTCTTTTCATGGAACTCAAATATGTAGAGACATTTCCCCTTTGATGTTTTGGAGGCAAAACAATATATATTTGAATTTGAATAAAAGCCATTCCTTTAAGAAAAGATCCTCCAAGTCATTTCTGATCAAATTCAAGTGTGTCCTTTTGCAAAGCATTCTTTTAGAAAATAATAAATGAAAACATTAGAGAAGCTAGAGAAGATCCATTGTGGTTTGGTAGCTTAAGTATTGGGATAGAACTCCAGGAAACCAGGGTTCAAATCCTCACTCAACCATGGAAACCCATTGGGTGACCTTGAGCAAGTCATACTCTCTCAGCTGCAGAAGAAGGCAATGACAAGCTTGCTCGAAGCAAATATTGCCAAGAAAATAGGGAGCCATTATGTTATAGTAGTTTGAGTGTTGGACTAGAAGTCCAGGAGAGCAGAGTTCAAATTCCACTCAGCCATGGAAATCTAATTGGTGACCTTTGGCAAGTAGCTCACTCTCAACCTCAGGGGAAGGCAATGGTAAATCTCCTCTGAATAAATTTTGCCAAGAAAATGCTATACCTTTGTGGTTGTGTGCCTCCAAATCAACTTATAACAACCCTAGAGCAAATCTATCATGGGGTTATTTTTGGGGGGAGGGGAGTAAGATTATTCAGTGGAGGTTTGCAATTGCCTTTCCCTAAGACTGAGAGAGTGTGACTTGCCCTAGATCTCCCAGTGGGTTTCCATCCTGGAAAACAACAAGAAGGTAACTAAAAAAAACAGCTCAATATCATATTAGCTATAACTGGTTGTACAAATTGCCCATTAATATGGAAAATACATGTTCAGAAAACAAGGTTTCTTAAAGAAACAACAAATAAACTAGGAAATATTTCCATTGGTGACCTAAAGTCTTATTGTTCAAATAGAAATTTTACTAGGCTGTTTTTTTTTTTTTTTTAATTTTTTAAATTTTATTGTGTTAAAAACAAAATTCATACATTTTCTTGTTTCCAAGTTTTGGAGGATTAGGGATTTCTGGCTATTTTTTGGATGTTATTGCTGTTGCTGATGAAGAAGATGATGATGACTTCCCTTCTGATACTTTCAATACTTTTTGACCATAATGAGAAATCTAGGGTTTTACCATCTAAACTCAAGTGTCTAGAGGACTGCAGAATTTAAAATACAACAACAGTGAAATCGATGTGTGGTGGGTTTTTTCCCTTTTGGAAAAGCAAACAAACAATCTAAGCTGAACTAGAACTTATGAAAATGTATATCGTATTACCAGGAGGGGGGGGTGGATTTCTTTGACTGAAGAAATTTCTTTGCTACCGTGGGGTGGACTTCAGTGACCAACATTAATAACCCCATCTCTCTTAACCTGTGCACTCTATAGTTCTCTTGACTTGGGGAGAAAACATTGCAGAAATCCACAGGGTAAACCAGGAATGTACTCAAGCGGTCTCGGTGAAATCAAATATGTTTGGGAATGGTTTTTTAAAAGGAGGGAAAGCACACTTTGCTATCTCATTAAAATAGGTCTGAGCAAGGGAGGTGTCTATGTATGCGGCCCATTTATAAATAATTGAGAAAGCTGGTGCTTCTTGAGACCCTCCAAGTCAAATACAGCCAAACCTTCTATGCGTTGGACTTCATAGGTCACAAGTTGAACCAGAACATCTAGAATATTGGAATGGTCTTCAGATGCTTGGGCCATCATTCAACCCATATATAGTTTGAAGTAGGCATTGTGAAAGCCACTAAAGGATTTCTGTTTCATCCTGCATTACCTATATCTTTGACAGAGCCTTAGTATCTGGCTTCCAATTTACATTTTGAAAAGTTCCAGTTGTGCACCCCTTTATTCAGCATTACCCAACCTTCTCTCTAAATGCTCTTGATGTTTTCACAAATGTTCATCAGATTTCAGAGCTAATCATAACATTACACCTTTTTGGGTGTCATGAGTAACATATTCTAGTTAATTTTTAAAGTTATTTTAAAGGACTTGTTGGTTAGGCATTTTGGGGCCTTGTCTGCCTAGGCCAAATAAACTGTTCTGCCATTAGCTGAGCCATGGCAGCTAAAGTGGTGTCAAGCTGCATTATTTCTGCAGTGCAGATGCTACTTATGTTGGCTGAGACATCCCTGGAGGTATCACAGGCGCTCTCACAGGACTCCAAGGACTGTATGTGGCCCATGGGATAAAATTTCCCACTCCTAAAATAAGAGATTAAATTAGATCTTTGACCTCACCAATGGTTAATTAAACTTAAGGTCAAACATTCTAGTCTGATTGTTGTTGTTTTGTGCCTTCAAGTAGTTTCCGACTTATGGTTGATCCTAAGGTGAACCTGTCTTGGGGTTTTCTTGGCATGTTTCTCCACAGGGGGTTTGCCATTGCCATCCTCTGAGGCTGACAGAGTGTGACCTGGCCAAGGTCACCCAGTGGGTTTCCATAGCCGAGCCTAGATTCAAATCCTGGCCTCCAGTCATAGTCCAATGCTCAAGCCACTACACCATGTTGACTCTCTTCCCACATCCTCTATTCATTTAAGAAATGTTTAATACAGCCTGAACATGGATTCTTTGTAGCTCATTTGTGTTCCTGTGGTGCACAGCATTACTTTCTCTGAAAGTTATAAGATCACCATAAATTCAACATAAATTCTGTGGTGTGTCAAATTATTACCTTACAACCCCCTGTTGTAATTACACAACTTTATTTGTTTCATTTATGATCAGCAGGGTTTATTAATGGCATTCCTGATTGGTTGGAGTGAGGATTTATAAATGTGCTTTAAAATGTTAACATCTTCCTCTGCTTTGCTCAGGCTGATCCAATGGCTAAATGAATGGCTAAAGCAATGTCAATGGCATTGGGATCAATAAGCATATAAAATTTATTGTATGCTCTCACTGGGCAACATTAGATTGTGAGGTTTATGAATGTTTTTCTCCTTCTGATGCTCTGAGTTCCCTTTGGCCTGAAATATGCATTCTAATATCACCAAGTCTCTGCATGAGATTAAAATTTCAAGAGCTATAAACTGAGTACGTTCAACTTTCCATATCCAAAAACATTTGAACAAATCCTGTTATCCCAACCCAAGTATGCCTGCTGAATCAATTGAATCTGCCAACAATCATGAAAATTGATTCAGTGAGTCTACTCTAGTTGGGATTAACCAGTAGGATTCAGGCCATTGATACCAACTGTATACTTGATTTTTTTACACTGATAACAATTATAACTAGTTATCATTCGGATTCCTCACCCATACAGACAATATTGATTTCATAGTGAGCTCCTCTGGGTAGTTGTTGTGTGCCCTTCAAGTCATTTCCAACTTATAGTGACTCTAAGGTTTACCTATTATGAGATTTTCTTGGCAAGATTTGTTCAGAAGAGGTTTGTCATTGCTTTCCCCTAGGGCTGAGAACATGTGACTTGCCCAAAGTTACCCAATTTCATAGCTGAATCAGGAATTGAACCCTGGTCTCCAGAATCGTAGTCCAGCACCCAAACCACTATGCCATATTTGCATCTAAGCATGTTTTTGTTGTTCTTATCTGCCTTCAAGTTGACTGATGCTGTATCTGCCCTGCACAAATAATGCAGTTCATCACCACTTTAATGGCCATGGCAACACTATGGAATTCTTGGATTTTTAGTTTTGTGAGTTCAGAAGTTTAGTTAGAGAAGGCTAAAGATCTTGCAAAGCTACAAATCCTAGGATTCTATAGGATGGCACTACAGCACTCAAAGTGGTATCAAACTGCATTATTTCTATAGTGCAGATGCACCCAGTGTTTCCTAATTCCAGCTGAGATGGGGGCCCATCCCATTGAAATTCCTTAGCAGCTATATCAGTCAACAGCATCAGAATTTAGCAGGAAAGGAACCATCATCTGCAGACGGAGGCCTCATCTATATGTTACTCATCTGCATCCTTTTGTTGAACTCTACAGGGTGACTTATGACATCTCAGGCCATAAATAGTGATGTTATTTCACATACCTTTTAACATTGATATAATTCCAAAGAGAAACTCTTCCTGATGATATATCAGAAAATTGGGCAAATATTCTAGTGACGTAAGGTGCCAGAGGTATTCATTCCATAAGACTTTTGTGGCCCATAGCTGACCTCATAGAGAGAAGCTTACTTTCTTGGAATGCTTCAGTTGCATTTGCTTTCTTTGTAACCATTCTGTTTATGTCAGACAACACACCCTAGATATGACATTGTTCAAACAAGGATGGCAGGAATGTAGAACACAGTAAAGATTAGTCTGTTGATGGAACTTAGTTGCAAAACAATGGGGATCTCCTGTCCAGGATGTACCAGTAAGTAGTCTACAAAGAAATAATTTAGAAACATTAGCAGTACGTGATTGTCATCTCTTGTTAGGATGTTGCTGTGGCTTCCAACTCTGTGCACTTTGGCACCGGCACATATGCCAGTCTTTAAAGAGCCTTTTGTGGGATATTTGTCACAAACAACCAGCACTAAAAAGCTTGAGGGCATGCAATATACATGCCTTTGCATTAAAAATAAATTGGGGAGGAATTTCAAGCCTTGCTCTTTGTCTTAGAGGAAAGCACAAACTTATTTCATTTTATTTTGGTAGTTTCCTGAATTAGGAACTCCAGCTCTCAAGCTAGGCATCTTTAGAGATGCAGAACATCTCCTTGAAATGTCAAGGGTAAGGGAAAGATTGCATGCTCTTAGTGCATTTACCCATGTGTGCATGTGCGTATGTGCTCTCTATATCCCCATAACTCCCATCCAGACGGGAAAAAGCAAACATTTTAGAACAGTAACTCCTTGCTTCAGTTGTCTGACATATGGTACCACATAATATGCATTTCATTCTGACACTGCCAAAAAATCAGCAGTCTTCAGTGCAAAATGGATGCACAGTACTCCAACAAAATAGCTTTATCCAGCGTGTATAAACTGGTGCCTAGCTTTGTAAAATCCTTATTTTTTATGCTAAATGCTTTATCTGTTCATTAGTTAATCTATAGGGTTTTCTTCTTCCCTCTATTCTTGTTATTTCTGGCTTGGTGTTCACCAGGTTTTTCTCAAGGCTATTGATTTATCTGCGTCACTTAGGCAAACAATCCATTGGGTTTGCATTTTAATGGGAGATTTTTTTAATTTGGACCTCCTATAACAAAATAATTCACAGTTGGAAGTATATATGTTTTTGAGACCCTGATGCCATTCTTCAGAGAAAAAACAACTGAATTCAAAAATAAGCACACACTTTGAGAAAGTTTATGGGGAAATGCATGTTTCAAAAATACACAGAACAGCTTTGGTCAATTAAAGGGGTGTGCGTATATGTATGTGTACTTTCAAATCACCTGGCAACTTATGGAGACCCCATGAATTTCACTGGGTTTTCTTAGGCAAGGAATACTCAGAAGTGGTTTTTCCAGTTCTTCAATATAACCTCTGGTATACTTTGGTGGTCTTCCATCCAAATATTAACCAGGGCTGACCCTCCTTAGGTTCCAAGATCAGATGGGATATGGTCAGTTTGGGGTATTGTACCCTGGAAGAAAGAGACATAAAAATCCATGAATTTGGAAAAATGTCTACAAAAATAGATCACATTTTTGCAGCAAGGTAGGCAGAAACACATGCAAATGTCGATGAAGAAAAAAGAACTTTAAAATCTGTTGTAGAAAGGAAGCAAATTAAAAACCTATGTTAACATAACACAGTTAGCTCTCTGTATCCACAGATCCCTTTTCTATGTATTCAGCCATCCATGGCTTCAAAATATAATGTGTGTGTGTGTGTATAAAAACAAATATTGAATTTGCCATTTTATATAAGGGTCACCATTTGACTGTGCCACTGTATTTAATGAAACTTGAACATCCATGGATTTCGGTATCCAAGGGGCATGGGGTCCTATACACAAACTCCAGTAGGTACCAAAGACCCACTGTAATAATAACAACACTTTGTTACCCATCTCTCCTTGTTGATCAAGGTGGGGAACAACAACAAATAACACAACACATATAATACTGTGTTTCTGGATAGTAAATTTGTGCAAAAACATGTTTTTTTCACACAAAAATACAATTTTCATGGAAGAAACTGATTTCCTGAAACACATGTGGAGGGGTGGTGTGTGTGTGTGTGTGTGTGTGTGTGTGTGTAAAACACCCTTTTTATACCAAAAAAATCACCCACATTTAATTCCAGAAACAACATCTTTTGGTATAAAAAATGTGTTACAATTTTTTGCACACAAAAATGTGTATTTCTGCACAAAACCATTTTGCAAAACACTTTGGGATGTGTGAATACAGGGCAAAAAATGCATAGATTTCTTGCTCCTGTGTTATTCAGTTGTCTGGGAACTCATATTCTTGGCTGGGAAACAACAAACAATAAATATTCTCATGTCAATCTACCATTTGGTCTGTGCAGCATGAAACATTAACCCCATAACTTGTATGATTTTTTCCCCTACCTCTCCCATTTCATCCTAACTATCAAGCTTCCCTGGTAGTAAGATGCTTGACCACTTGCACATATGCCTGTTTTGCCTCACTGACCTTCCTTTCTGGCCATGCTGTAGCACAGTAGCAACTTTTTAAAACAGAAAGATTAAAGTAAATTTGTTCTCGGGTAAACTTGCACCAAGCACAAGGAGCTGAAGGCACTTCTTCAAACCCATAATGACTGTGTGTCTCTCCAGTGTGGCTCACGTATCTCTGGAAATGACAAAGTGGTTTTGAAGCTTGCGAGAACATCAAAGGTTTTTAATGTTTGCTCAAGGTCTCCAACATATGGGAGGTGGTGTACAGGGAGCCTTTATGAAAGTCATGCTTGTTTGCCAACTGGAATGGATGAAACCAAAATTGGATCAAGATGCAGATGGAAAGACAGACTGTTCCCTGAGACAAAAGATTAAATTGGATTTCTCTTATTCAGCTTTTCTCCCCCTTCTCTTGCAGGCAACTGGGTGAGGAGGAGTAAAGAAATCCCTCAGAAGTAAACAATTGCACTTATGTATGACTAACACCCCTATCCAAAACATGTTAAAATGTTCCTCAAGTCCTGATGAAGCTACTGAGACTTAGGAAGACATTATATCTTGACTTCAAATGTGTAGATGATGCCAAAAATGAGACCCCCCCATTAAATTCCTTTTCTCCAAACTGTAGTTTCTAGAATAAGTTGTCACTTTCCTGGCTCTGTGATGGACATTCTCCCTGCCTTCCAGCTTCAAGAAATAAGTGGCAGCTTGTGCTATACAGAGTGGGACTGAGGCTGGTTCATCTTCAAATAAATATGTTATTTTTGAAGATCTTCTTGGAGTAAGGAGGGTATTAGAATTAGCAAGGCACTCTGCACCAGTTGAAGAAGAAACCGGGAAAGCCCTTCATAACATGTATAGGGCACTCTTTTTTACAGGTTGTGGTCTTCAATCCTGGGATTTGTAGATTTACAACATTTTCAGCCTTCTCTGACAAAGATTGTTGGGGCCTACCAAAACTACAAATCCCAAGATTCAGTAGGATGGAGCAATGAGGGTTAAGGTGGTGTCAAACCGCATTATTTCTACATCGTAGATACACCCGTTGCTTCCTTTGACAATGAAATTAGTAAACAATTCCATGTTCTGTATCATCCATGTCTGCTACAAGTTTTACACTGAACTTTTAAAAAGCTATTCAACCTATTGAACTGGGTGGGTAGAGTTCATCATTTCAGATCTGACTTTTAAAGTTCAGGTGAAGACCCAGAATAGATTCACCACCACAAGATCCCTCAGCTTTCACTGCCACACATTCTTTTTTAAAAAATCTGGCACTACTCATGATGATGTCCAAGAAGGACACATCACCCCTGCTGCATGGCAGAGACAGTCTGAAGCCTATCTTGGCATCCATGATGCCTGAGTG